GAGAACATGATACAAGGTTATTGTAGCTTATATTATATAAAGTTATTTCTTAAAGCTTTTATAGCTTCAGTCAGAGGATCCTGGGTAGATTACAACATAAAAATGTGAAACAATACAAAACAATACATAAATTCTAACCCTCTCACAAGATGGATACCTGAAACAATGTGGTAGGGACATCTTTATGTAGAGAGGTGGGGGCAGATAAGTAGTTGCATGTGCCAAAAGGAAAAATCTGGACAAACCAAAGGAGGAAGAAAAACGGATTAATTTAATTGCTCCTGCCTCTATAAGGCCTTAGGGAACAGAATTTTCAAACAAGTCTTCTTGAAGCTTTAGTCTGTCCTATCATTAAACTAAAGAAATAAGCCATCTTGGCAGGAGTAGTTTATGTCAAGTCTGGAATGCCAGTTTCAGCAATACAAATGGAATATTTGTAAATAATCATTCTCCTGGACAGTAGCTAGCTCTTGAGGCAATACTTCAGTTCTCTCTCAAGAAAATGAGGCCCTTCAAGGCTAGGCATCTTTGAAAGATTGGGAAGATTTACAGATTTGAGCAAAGAAGCCCAGAACAGGTTCTTCTCTTTTATTTTTATTGTATCCTCATCTTGTGTTTCTGGTTATTGTTTCTTTCCCCCCTCTTTTAAAAAAAAAATTCTACTCTTCCTCTCTCAGCCCTCTCAGGTGGTGTGTCTGGAAATCACTTGATGATGATTATATTTCTCACTACAATCAACTAGGGTTAAAAGCTCTGTGGAAGGAAGCTGTACTGTTACTTTTCAAATACCATAAGGGTAGGGACTTATGGACCTCCAAGAATAGAGAATGGGGGCATCATAGAAAAGGCATATTAGTTGATCCAAATCTTCTCCACTGAATGAGATCCTTAGGGGATCTTCTCAAAAGGTTCTTGTTGGATGGTAATGTTTGCAGATTTTCTTCTAGGGCTGCCAGGTGAAATAGTTTTTCACTGGTAAGGGCTCTGATTTTTTCATCCTCCATTCCACCACTAGGAACTTCTCTTTTTCCCACAAACTCTGAGTACTGACTTTCTCTTTTGCTCCTCCTTGCTAAATGGAGAAATGACTCTGCTGCTCATCCAATGGTGGTTGGCTTGGCTTGTTCATTCTCCTGCCCTAGGAAGTTGATGGATTGAAGGAGAGAGCCTCTGATTTTGTGCACTTCCCCATTGTTGGCTTGTAAGAGTCATGAACAGCTTTCATGGAAACTTGAGTTTAGTACAAGAAGAAAAGTATCTTTAGATACTATCACTTGAGCAAGTAAGTGCAATTGTCAGCAAAGTAAATAGCAAAAAGTTCGTAGCCATAAGGACTGGATTACTCTACCCTTAGAGGCCTATCTTAGGAGGCCATATTCTAGCCAAGGTCTTGCATTGGGTGCCTATGTGTAGATGACTAGCTGAGTAAGATCCTGCCAATATAAGTACTTGAAGAACTTTTTTTAACAAAGATCCAGTCAAACAGCACTTGCATACTAATATTCACCTCAATAATATAAACTTGGGAGAAAGCATTTTCATGAATTGGTAATAGTCAAAATTAGGAAATAAGCACACCTGGACAATTTGAAATCTGGTCAAAATTTTCAGACAGTATACTACATGTTTTTTTTTCTCTTCTTAATTATGCTAGAATTGGAGGGAATAAAAAACTAATTTTAGAAGATAATATACCTACTTAGAGAAGTGCCTCTTCATTACAATCAAATAAAATTTGTTTCCAGGTCAATACTGTACAAAGTAATGGATTATATGCTAGTTCATGTGTTCTGCCCTATCTGAGAAAGGTTTATAGCTATTCATGTCATAAAATGTCACCCATATTTAGAAAAACTAGTTCAACGTATAGCATATTTCGTAACTTCAAAACACTGAAAATCTTAGCCACTAATGGTGCAATAATGTAACTACTACAACAAAAGTAATTTTATTTATCTGGTTTTTGACAAATTCTACTGCATATGCATTCCATTACATTATGACTTTTCATTAATATAAACTCAATAATAGTCAATTGCACAGAGGCTATTCACCCCAAATTAAGCATTTTAAGTCCAACTATTTTTTTTTATAAGAGATAATTAAAACTGTGTAAACTTTCATTCTGAGTCAGTTTGTTGTCTGAATCATATCCTTAATATTGTAGAGGACTTTAAGTTGCACTTAAATTTTGGCTTACAGAAATTATTTAATTTTGCAATTATTTCCCAAGAATCTTTAAAGAACTAAAAAAAATGGCTTAGTAGATTTCCACAATGATCCCAAACTTTTATCAGTAGAAGCATTTTTAAATACCATGCAGTAGATTCAAATTTAAAAAAAAATCAGCACTGTAACCTAAGGTATTTATTAAGAAACAGAATATAGGTTAAGATTTCTCAAAATAGTTACAAGGGAAAAATAACAAGACAGGCAGAAAGTAGAATATATACTAAAAGGTGTTGGTTATAATATATACTAAAAGGTGCTGGTTATCACCTTTAAAGCCCTTCATGGCTTAGGACCAGGTTACTTACAGGACCGCATACTGCCGCATAGTTCCCAGAGACCGGTGAGGTCCCACAGATTGGGCCTCCTTCAGGTCCTGTGGGCCAGACAATGTCGGCTGGCGGGCCCTCGGGGAAGGGCCTTTTCTGTGGTGGCTCTGACCTGGTGGAATCAACTTCCCCCCGAGATTCGAACTACTCCCACCTTGCTGGCCTTTAAGAAAGCCATTAAAACTCTCCTGTTCCGGCAAGCCTGGGGTTGATGTCCCCGTGGGGGCCGGGATACGATTGGGACATGCTGTATGAATGCACTTATTTTACTGTTTTATTGTTATTTTTATTGTTCTAATTTTGTACGCCGCCCTGAGTCCCTAGGGATTGGGCGGCATATAATTTTTTTTAATAAATAATAATAATAAATAAAATGAAATATAGGCTAATATAAAAACAAAGATCCCACTTTTAAAATAGTGAAGCAAGAAAGCATGTATCACACATTTAAGTTCATAGCCCAGGAGGCTAAAATTGCAGAAGTTTCAGATATACAGTATAATTCTGGCCCCTCCAAAAAGGAAAAGGAACAGTGTGATTTAATCCCCCCAGGAATACGACTATTCTTACACATGTTATGCAAATGTAAGCTACCATCATAGGAACAAAGTCATGGCTCAGCTGAGCATCTGCTTGATTCCAGGCATTCTGAGAAACGGGATAAAAATTCTCCTCTTTTGGAGAGATAGTTCAAATTATAATAGGGCTGTGAAACAAGATGTGTTGGCAATTTTTCAGCAGGGGGGAGTGGCGGGCTAGTGTTAGATTCGTACGGTATATCCTAGAATCAGAATAATGGGGTCTAGGTATGGTTCATCTGCGGTGATTGGATGAATGGGGAAGCAGAAACAGATTCTAGCATATATAACATAATGATCAGGGGAGAAAAAAGTTGTGATCATCTCTTGTTTTCCCAGTTGAGGGAAAGAAATCACAGTAAAATAAAGGTTGTAGTTTCAGTTCTCTCTCTTGCATAATTTGTGCTGGGAGGCACTGCCAGCTCTGTCATTTAAAAACAAGAAAAATACAGGCTGTCATCCATACAGAATATCTTTTAAGGGATGGGGGAAGAATAGCTACCACCACAATTTGAGCTGTTGTTGGCTAAACAAATTGATTCTCACCCTCACAGGCAAAGATGAAGGAGGAATAGCAAGCTGATCCCACTCATTATGATACACACAAATGAAGTCAGTAAGCTGCAAAGATTTTTCTTCCTGTCCTTGAACATATTTAAAATGACTCATCAAAACCTTTTCGCTGAGAATAGAGTGGAAGGGCTGGACCACTCTCTGTTTTGGTACGTATCTCTGTTATTTCAACCGTGTCACATAATCTCCAAACAATCCAACTATATTATACAATCTCCAAAAGATATATAGTCTTGACACTGTCTACAATATGTAAGCACTGCCAAAATTAGGAACTAGCTCTTGATCTTCCTACTCTTGAGATATTTCAGGAGATGTTCCTGGAATTCTAGAACCCCAGGTGTGCCCACAAGAGAACCACTTAGTGCTGTAATTAAGGGAGAATGTTGTGGATAATCTCTGTATCTGAGCATTATCCCAGCACATCTCCAAAAATGCTATATTGTTCAAACAGACTTACTCTGAGACCCATAACTTTTTAGCTTCTTCTCCTCGCCCAAGGAAATAGCCTGGAGCTAAAATAATTTCATGGTAAGTATTCATATAAACTTATTTTATCATGTTTCCCGAAATTTTAGAAGTGCTGTTAAATACCCCAGATGTGAAATAACAACTCATTCTCTAGTTTTCAAAAACAAACAAATAAGCAAACAAATAAATCTTTTCCCGGAGGATACAACTGTTGCATGGTAAGCATGGAAAGATTATTTCAGAACCCCCTCTTAAGGAATGATTTAATATTCAAAGAAAGGGAAATAAGGGAGGATGAACTGCGAGAAGTTCTAAAAAAGTAAACGCAGAAGGCAGATGAGATTGGAGTTTGCAGTTTTCTAAAACTGAATATTTGATAATGGTATATTTGAACTGATTTTATTTGTACAAAGGAGACTTGCAAAGGATATAAAAACAATACGAAGATAGTTATTTTGTATACATACTATCTGACTAAAATATAATACAATAAATAAAATAAAATGGCCCAAATGAATATTTATCTTGTCATTGTATCAGTAAATAGAAAAATTGTCAGTATAATTTATTGTTATATTGGTGATTTATGAGTACAGTACATCTATTGTAATCAAATATTTTTTTAAATGTAATTAAACATTTGTGTGTCCAAGGACAGGAAGAGCCGCTAAGAGAAAATTGATTGTTTTGAGATTTCGCAGTTACAAAAACAAAAACTTTTTTTTGCCGAACCAGCTGCTTCACATATTAAGGAATAAAACTGGAATAAATTCCTTTCTGAAGCCTTATAAAGTTGCCAGAAAGGATGCAGAGGCCTTACCTGTTACACTTTCTCCAAAAGTCCAGTCCTTGCTGCCAAACATGCAAAGCTTTTGGCCACTTTTGGTTGAAAGCAAAATGGACTGTTCGACCATGATAATCCCGACTTGTTATGGGTGATAGATTCCTTCAGGGCAGCATATTGTAGCTTCTTGAAATATATCCTATAAAATATCAAGAAATCGTGTCATATTATGTATGTGTGTGTGTGTGTGTGTGTATATATATATATATATATATATATATGTTTAAGAAAACTAAAAACACGAACCCTGGGAATGTTCATGATAGGAAATAAAATGATCACCAGGGTGATAAAAACTATAAAATTTATTAAAAAGCGCCTAGCTTTCGCCGTCACCTGCCGGCATCCTCAGGCTAGTGCGCCAGGGAGTGAGAGAGTCATTTTTATAGGTGTAGTGAAGTCTGCGCACGACTCCTCGACCTCGTCATCGGGCCTGAATAGAGTGACTGCGCACGGCTGGTCTGTTCCTTTCTATTCATTTCAACCGCACGTTCATCTTCCTCCATCCTTCTTTCCCTCAGTCTTGGGGTGGATGGGCAAATGTCTTTATGATAGAGACTGTTGCAATCATAAAGACATTTGCCCATCCACCCCAAGACTGAGGGAAAGAAGGATGAAGGAAGATGAACGTGCGGTTGAAATGAATAGAAAGGAACAGACCAGCCGTGCGCAGTCACTCTATTCAGGCCCGATGACGAGGTCGAGGAGTCGTGCGCAGACTTCACTACACCTATAAAAATGACTCTCTCACTCCCTGGCGCACTAGCCCTGAGGATGCCGGCAGGTGACGGCGAAAGCTAGGCGCTTTTTAATAAATTTTATAGTTTTTATCACCCTGGTGATCATTTTATTTCCTATTATATATATATATATATATATATATATATATATATATATATATATATATATATATATATGTCTTTGGTTATTCGGGTTTTCTCCCGCGTCAAACTGGAAGTGTCTTGGCAACGTTTCGACGAAGTCTCATTCGTCATCTTCAGGTTGGTGTTTTCGGCTTCATGCTTCTAGGAGCACGAAGCCGAAAACACCAGCCTGAAGATGATGAATGAGATTTTGTCGAAACATTGCCAAGACACTTCCAATTTGACGCGGGAGAAAACCCGAATAACCATCCCTTAGTCCAAGGAGATCTTCTGATATTTTTATGGACATAATCTAACAGCTTCAATTAATCAAAGACACTCAAAGCAGCCACAGCTTCAATTAATCAAAGACACTCAAAGCAGCCACAAAACCTTCTTCCACAAACTTCCTTCCAGAACTTCAAATGGACACTGTTTCCTTGGGGTCAATAAATTCAAACGCTTTCCAGAAAACCTTGCTAGACCTCAGTCAACTCAACTGGAGCTGCACAGCTAGGGTCTAACTCAAAGTGAATTCCCTTAACTTTATTCAACAGATATCTCAAGTGATCCTTGCAGCAACCCTTTACATGGTTTTCTGACCCATCTGTCCCTAAGACTGACTAGGTTACTTTAACAGAATAACAGAGTTGGGAGGACCTTGGAGGTCTTCTAGTCCAACCTCCTGCTCAAGCAGGAAACTCTATTCCATCTCAAACAAATGGTTGTCCAATCTTGTTTTAAAACTTCCAGTGTTGGAGCACCCACAACTGCGCCTATAAATTTAAAGAGGACCACTGGACATAATGCTTTATTATTATTTTCAAAAAGTTATACTGCACACAAATATTAATACATTCTGCCCCAAACACCAGGGCTATAATTTTTCATATCTTAATGATAGTCAATACAAAAAGAATACTTTAATGTTCTGAAATGAAATATGAATCCATACAGATGGTATAAACTTTGAACTAGTTCAAGCCAAATCATCCTAGTTTCTCAATCAACTAATTAGGTTTTATACTGAGGATGAAGCATAATACTATTGTGAAGCATGCATTCGTTGTAGTCTTTTTATTAATTAACAAGGGTTTAATTAAAAAAATTAAAATTAATTAAAAGCTCATCAGAATATGTCTAATTTTTAATACAAGATGGAAATAAAAGGACTAGTTAAAACTGGGGGTGCCTTTCAAAGCCATAATATAGATTGACAAATTTATATCCAAGTGAGTTTTTCCTCACAAAATTTCAAAGCCATGAAATCTGTTGTGAAAAATCTATGGTTGACATAATTAACTCCAAATCTCTGAGGACTACCTTACAGAGAAAAAGCAATAGGGGATATTTGGGGAACTCATCAAATTTGCAGATGACATCAAGCTGGCAGGAATAGCCAATACTTCAAAAGATAGGATTAAGATACAGAAGGATCTTGACAGACTTGAACATCGGGCGCTATCTAACAAAATGAAATTCAATGGTGAAAATTAAGGTTCTACATTTGGGCAAGAAAAACCAAATGCACAGGTACAGTATAGGTGGTACCTTACTCAATAGTAGTAATTGTGAGAGGGATCTTGAAGTCCTAGTGGACAATCACTTAAATATGAGCCAGCAGTGTGCTGCAGCTGCCAAAAAAGCCAACACAGTGCTAGGCTGCATTAACAGAGGGATAGAATCAAGATCACGTGAAGTGTTAATACCACTTTACAATGCCTTGGTAAGGTCACACTTAGAATAATGCATCCAGTTTTAGTCACCACAATGTAAAAAAGATGTTGAGACTCTAGAAAGAGTACAGAGAAGAACAACAAAGATTAGGGGACTGGAGGCTAAAACATATAAAGAACGGTTGCTGGAATTGGGTGTCTACTTTAATGAAGAGAAGGGCTAGGGGTGACATGATAGCAGTGTTCCAGTATCTCAGGGGCTGCCACAAAGAAGAGGGAGTCAAACTATTCTCCAAAGCACCTAAAGGCAGGACAAGAAACAATGGATGGAAACTAATCAAAGAAATAAGCAACCTAGAACTAAGGAGAAATTTCCTGACAGTTAGAACAATTAATCAGCCTCCAGAGGTTGTGAAGGCTCCAACACTGGAAGTTTTTAAGAAGAGACTGGACAACCATTTCCTGCCTGAGCAGGGGGGTTGGACTAGAAGACCTCAAAGGTCCCTTCCAACTCTATCAACAACAACAACAACAACAACAACAACAACAACAATAATAATAATAATAATAATAATAATAATAATAATAATAATAGATTTAAAAAGAAAACATACATAAGTCCTCGCTTACCAACTTCCTCATTTAGTGACCATTCATTCACTAAAGGTGCAACAGTTGAAAACAAACCTCTGTAACCAATCCTTACATTAACGGTCATTGCAGCATCCGACAATCATCTGATTACTATTATGAACTTCATAACTCACTTCAAACAAGCAGAATTAATAAAGAATGCAGAAGTGAAACTGAAACTCCTATCTCATTTAATGTGTCTGTTTAATGACCATGTTAATTCACTTGATGCTAGAAGCACAAGTGAGGTCTTAAGTCTGATGCAATCACATGATGTTTCACTTAGTTTCCGTATCACTTAGTGATGGGGTTGCCAGTCCTGATTTCAATCAATAAGCAAGGACCAAAATAAAATATTTACTTGCATGAAGAAGGAAATTGGATTAGCACATAGGACAAAACAGAAGCCAGGACAATGAAATTATCTACAGCTGTTTCAAAATTGCTCCCATATGAGCAAGACAATCCATTCTGTGTCAGATTACCTTATTTCTTCTTCTTCTCCTATTCTTGTTTTACTTCTGGGATAATTTAGAAACATCCTTCATAGAAAGGCAACGTATTAAAAAGAGAACAATTTTTGTCCACAGAGCTTGGAGATTTCCACATTAGCAGAAGCCTTTTATTAGCCTTAGGTAATTTAATGTAATCTGTTTCTTAACAAAGCCCTAAAGAGGCTCAGTTAAAATAATGATTGAGAACAGCAGACTAGAAATCCAGGCACGTATATCAGTAAAAAAACCTGCAGATACAAGATTGACTTGTAATATAACCATCAATACTAAGATGGAGCCAAGAAATGTAGAACTCATATTTTCCTGACCCGCCCACCCCTTTCTCAATTCTTTGTCTGAATGTTTACTAAAAGCCAGCAGAAACATTTACCTGGCTGGTCTAAAGGTTCACCTAGTAGCCCAACAGCCAACCATTTCTTTTTGTCAAAATAAAACATATGATGTTCAGTTACAATCTTGGCATTTCCCTTCTCCTGGAAATGTGGCCAATCATGCCATGTATTATAGCGAACAAATTCTCACAAAGAAAACATTTAATTTTCTCTGCTTATTTCCCACTGATAATTTCCCCTTATAGAATACAACCAGGGAAAAATTGTATCAGATTATAAGTAACTGCAGATTGATCCCTTTCTTTATAACTTTGTGTATTGTTTCCTTTTCTGTTTGTTTTTGGCGTTCAAATAATAAAAGCATGTAAAAATAAAATGATCTATTATACACCGATTGCAAAAACAGTCACAGAGCAATACTTGCTAACAGACTCGCTAAGAATCCAAGATCCAGTTTGTGTAGTTTGTGTGTACAATCTTTCTCCCTTCCCTTCCCTTCCCTTCCCTTCCCTTCCCTTCCCTTCCCTTCCTATCTCTTTGGATACAAGACAAAATATAAGCAAATTCTTTTTCATATGGGAAATATGAAATGTCATTATTTGCCTCTACATTTCAGCAGTTTCATTTTTGAGACTGAGATTCCAGTCTCAAAGCCAACATCTCTTAGGAACTGATCAAGATATACCTACAATCAGGTGTGCAACTGAGACCAGGTAATGGTGTCTATATGTACTTCTGGATGTGCTGTTCTTGTCAGAAATGAGCAAATTTGTTTCTTTTGCACTTTTTAGCAGTCCCCCCCCCGCACACACACCCAAACCCCCAAGGACTGTATCAGCATAGAATTGTGTCAGCATAGGATTTTCCATTTTTTTAAAAAAAAGCTAAAATAGCTGTGTTCAGCGGGGGGGGGGGGATAGTTTTGGTACACCTATTTTAGTAAATTATAGATACATAAAACATATGTGAGGAAAAAAAGGGTGGAAGTGAAAAAAGATGGTCTCCCTTGAGGGACTTTATTGACTTTTGTATGACAGTAATCTTTTGTTGTTTTTATAAAGCATGGCTGATTGCTATAAGGACATTTTCTGTTCCTAGTTAATACCGCTGATTAAAATGA